TTGGCGAATGCATGATGAATTTACCTTATTACTTATTTAGGAATTCCAAGTTGTTCTTTCAGAGCCACTTTGGACACTATTTCTGGGTACTGGGATTAGTGTAATGGATTGCCACTGTGGGAAATATAAATGTTATTCTGATATGGAATTAGTGTAATGGATTGCCACTTTGGAAAGTATAAATGTTATTCTGATATGGAAACGCGATTGTTTGCTGATTTGAAACTTTTTGATTAATGAACTAGGCCACAAAGAATTCGATGGTGTGTACTGGGGCTAGTTTGTGCGAAACAACGTTCTAGAGACCAGTCAGAAGTCCTTGCTGTTTCTCCATACAGAGAAACTTTCCTAATGAATACTTCAGACTGTATATGCATTAGGCACAACTCGAAATTAGCTAATATTATTTTTTATGCAGTGCTTCAAACCCTTAACAGGCATGATGATTCAAAGACAGCGTGCCTTGCCTTTCAGATGTGCGAGTGGTGGAGGTGATGCGTGGATTATTATTTTATAAAAGCAATTAACCACAATGAAGACGCATCAGCTTTAAAAGCGGACGTCCCTCCATCCTTTTCGACCTCTCTTAAAGCTGCTATCTCCTCTGTAGCCAGACAAACTATACGTCCTGCCTCGCCCATTGCAATTATTTTCTGCATGGATAAATGAAGGATTTGACCGTTATGTTGGCAGATAAATGAAAGCATGAAGTTCTGCAACCAAGTTACTAGTCCTTCCAAACGTCAACACTATATCCGCTTTCACGTTGACAGTGGCTTTAAACAGGTATTTAGGTAATAAATACATCGGTGACAGCGCGGTGGAATATGTCAAGCACCGATAGCTCGCTTCATCCATTAAGGCAAAATCTGTTCACCATCGCGGCACGATATCAACTGTGAGTGGTAGAAGCTGTCAAAGCACCACAGCGATGGCCAGCCCTCCAACCCACCCCGGCCTCAACTCCTGCATCAAAGCTAGCAAAAGAAAAGGACTCCTAACAAATGAATTGCAACCTCAAAATTCATGTGGCTGAACACCAGCAATTAGGGCAGCCAAGTGAATACAACGAATGAAACCAAATCCAAGAGATTCCACATTCCGTCACCATTGAAACGGTAGGGATTTGTTTTACATGATTACATAGATTTGTTGCTATTGGAGGTAGTTTAGTCAAACCAAACCAAATTAGAATATTTGATTTTACTTCTTAAGGCGTTTTTCTGCTACATTTGATTACGTCTTTTGTCGACGCTGAAGTAATGCCGGGTAAACGTCTACGCAACAGAAGCTGTATTTTACGATTGAGAATTAGAGAGGCATCCGACTTGCTACTCAGTTCTTTATTCGTTGTGCTCTGGCGCTCCGATGGCGATGCACGGATTAGGCGTTCCTCGAACTGGAATAACGGTGATGGTTAGGGCCGTGGCCACCACGCCACAGACCGTCGCTGATCGGGATGCACAGGCAATCGTCGTTGAGACCATTCGAGTGTCAATGGCATGATTGCGCAATGAAGGCCTGGTGGCTGGTTGACTGATTGATTGAGTCTCCAGATAGTTGAGACTACTGCGGTGGCTAGATTTTTTCCATTTAAACATATTCATAGTGGAGTGGTTATCTTTAGGCTAAGAGCATACCTCTGCTCCGTGGTAGCCAATGAGAAGGGATGAAAGAGGAGAACAAATCTTTAAAGCGTTAGCGGCTAAGTGGTTGATCAAAAATTATAGAAAAGTTGCGAAGCAAAATATTCAAATTTACACATTTAGTGAAATGTGGAATTAAAAAATCTAGGTGGTACAGATTCCCAGGATTGCAGGCAACACCAGCTTGTAACATTTCCTTACCCAAGTTCTACCAAGC